ATCAGAATGGTCCAGTTCTGACTGCACCCACACTGCTGTTTCCCATTAACACAATAGCTCCTAGCATTGTGGGAATCGAACACTGAATGGGATATTTGCAGTGGAAAAAGACATGGTACTATTGGACCAAGAGACTATTATACTAAAAGCAAAGCAAAAGCCAAGTGTGTCCCATAGTGTTCAGAGCACTCACTGGGCAATTTACACTTTAACTATGCAGGCTACACATTGCCTATCCCCTAGAAAGTTAGGTGCTTAGTTTACTGACCTTGGAGGGACAGGGGACTGAGTGAACCTCAACTCAGCTGCCTGAGATTGAACCAGGGTCATGAGCAGTTTTGGCTGCTGTTTAACCACTGCACCACAAGGCTCCATAGTACTATATCTAGACAGTGGTTCTCAAACTCTGGGCCCCGGATGTTCTTGGACTGCAACTTGCAGAAATCCTGGCCAGCACAAGAAGTGGTGAAAGCTTCTGGGAATTGCAATCCAAGAACCTCTGCAGACCCCAGTTTGAGAACCACTGGTCTAGATGTTGCTCATAAACTATCTCGTAAACCAGAGGTGGACAAAGGTTTGAGAACCACTAGTCTAGATGTTGCTCAGTATCATAACTATCTCGTAAACCAGAGGTGGACAAAGTATGGTCCACCATATATGGCTGGATTGCAGCTCCCATAAGAACTGGCCAAGGGTGAGGGACCCCTCCAGCTGTGGTCTACTATCTGAAAGACTCTACTTTGTCCACCTTACTGTAAACACTGGCTCCCCCATCTTCACCAATAAAGTTCAAGAGACCCTAATGACATTAGTAAAAAACAAACCCTGCATTACATTAAAAAAATAAAAGAGTTGTAATCCAAAACCCTAAACTGAAGCTTATTTCGGGGAGGGGATGTGTTATATACATTTGACAGACATGCAGCACACAACTGGCTGACAAGCATTTCTTAGAGGCCTTAAAGTGCACCGATAGCTGTGAAATTGTTAGTGGTTGTCTCAGCCCTGTTCTTCTATCAGCGTTGCTTACACCATTAATCTAAATGCTTGGATGGCCCAGGCACAAGTATATAAAGGAATTCTATTATTATTCATTGATTTATATGTAAGAAATAATGTGCTGCAAAAGCAATTATTATATGTTTGAGTCTGACAAGCGCCTGATCCAGTAAATTCCTTTTTCTTCTGAAGTTCAGCTGACGTTTCTCAAGCGAAATCATAAAAAAAAGTTTCTTTAAAAACCTAAATGCTGTTATTGTGACTTGAATGAATAATGTGCACAATGTATTACAAAAATTCCAATGGCTTAAAATACGTAGTTGCATGCTCCTTGCAGCATGGAAGGCCAAGTTTTTCACACTTAGCAAAGTCCATTTCCATCATATTTGCATTGGTGATGGTAACTCTTAGGAATTTAATGAATTAAGCTTTATTCTTTATGCACCATTTTAAATAAAATTCAGTTCCATAATACTGTTATGTGGTCATTTAGATTGTTGCATTCAACTCCCTGTTCGGAAAAAAAATAGTTGAATGCTACATTACTGGCCTTTTTTGTTTTGTTTTGTTTTAATGGTTATATACTTTCTGTGAGAAACTGGGCATCATTATGCACATTGTTGAAATGAGAATTTGTAACAATTTGGAACAATTTGCAGGCTTACTGTGATGGAAAGAATCCAGTAGACCTTGAAATTATTGCTAGGAACTGTGCTGACTGAAGGAGAAACACCAGAAAAATCCAAACAGTTTTATTGTAATTATATTCTTCTATTTACAAAGCCATGTTCAATAAATAAAAACACGTTTAAAAGAAGATTTCTCCAAACGGAGAAAGTACAAAGGTTTGGCTTTTATATTTACAAAAATGAAACCACACAGTCTTATAACAGCCATAACCACTTTGGTTTCTTAAACATTAGAGAAAATAAGTAGTCGTTTACGAAACTAATGCATTTCAACGGCTGCCATGAAAACTCTAAAGAAAATGGCCTTCTTGCGCACACTATGCAATTTCTCAAAAGGACATATGCAGAATCCAAGACCTTCAAGAAGTCTCAGCAGCTTCCCATGTAGGAGAGAATTTGGCTTTAGAGCTAATTCAGTTGTATTGGTTGTTGTGAGTTTTTCGGGCTCTTTGGACGTGTTCTGAAGGTTGTTCTTCCTGACATTTCACCAGTCTCTGTGGCCGGCATCTTCAGAGGACAGCACTCTATCCTCTGCAACCAATTGTATTGGTTGCTTTTCCACTTTGTAAAATAGGGATGAGGACGTTTCCCTTCACTTATTGGATACCAGCTTCCACAGGTCTAGCCAGCATATCCAGTGGTAAGGGGTCCTGTCACCCAGTATATGGAGGGTCATGAAATCCTCAATCCTGGCTCGTAAATTATATATGTATTTTTCCAAAAGCCTTAAAATTAGTTCACAGCATGGGGTGAAGCTGCTTTTTGAGATGCATCAGCAAAGATCAAGCCTGCTTCCTATGCTTTGATGGATCAGCTGATGTGTGATCAGCAGGAATTACCTGCTCACTGTGTTCAGCAAGCAACTGAGTGGGTCTAATCTGCCAGGGACTATGAAATGCATTTAGGCCAGTGTAACTCAGATGTCTATGACTAACACTGGAAAATAATGCAGAAATATGAGCAATTGACACTTCCGAAGGAAAATTAAAAAATAAAAGGAACAATCAAAATCAGAGGCAAGCTGGGGTATTTTGACTCTTAGTGAACATACTAGTCCAAAAATGAGAGTCAGTCTCCATCAAGGGCTTGACATATTCACAAAGCATTTTGGTTGTTAGCAGTCGGTCTGAATAGTTTGTTCAGATGGAGTCTCAGATAGGTTGTTGTTGGAGGGGGGGCTGTGGATTCACTTTTCAAAACACCACTCCTTTAGGAACCCTGGAAGGTCTACATGCCCAGCCTGCTTTCTCCCCTTTTGTTTTGTTGCAATGGAGAAAAGAGATGACAGGAAGCCTAATGGAACAAACTTGGTTTAAAATAAAACAAACACTGTCTCTTTGTAAAGGTGAAATACAGTTTATTGTTGCAGGGGAGGTGGAAGGGTAAAGGTACTGACAGATTTTGCCCAGGAAAACTATGAAGCAGGTGAGTAAAGTCCCACTGAACATTCCAGCAAATGAAGAGTGTTTCATGAAACTGAATGTACAAAAAGGGATATAACTACAAGTTAGGAGTTCTGAACAATAAAAAATATTGGTTTAAATAATACAATTGCTCTTGTCATAGATTCATTGTAAGTGGATTCTCTGTAGGAAGGTGGTAGAAGAGCAGACAAGGCCTTTTTCATGTCATACGCGTAGAGCAGATTCTATACAGAATACTTTTAACCTTTATAAAACTGGACAGGCACAGGAATACATTTCCTTGGATCATCTTGTACATGTTCTGCACACAGAAATCACGGAAAGGCAACATCACAGCAAAATTCAACTGAAGACTCTGCAGCCTAATTATGAATGCCATCAACCTGTGGTTTAAAAAAAGAACCACTTCTGGTTTCTATGTGTATATTTCATAACTAGCAGACTGAACAATGTAGGAAAAGAAGATGATTTTATTAGCAGAACTGTTGTGTGTCAATTTTCAACTTAATGAACTTGAAATGACAACATTCAGCAGTGCAGAGAGGGTTGGGTTTTATCCTGCTGAACTTGACCCTTGCTTTTAAGAGTGTTTAAATTAAAGAACGGGGTGGAGAGAGAAAGTTACTAAGACTACAATACTGCTCACCAAAACACACAAAGAATTACACTATATACAGTAGAAATTCTAACAGCAAGTGGGTGGATGGGACTTCTGTGGTCATCTGAAGGAGCTGGAAACCAAGCATTTCCTTAGGGAAGAAAAAAAGAGACTAATTACAGTGGACCCTCTACTTATGGAATTAATCCGTACTGGAACGGTGGCTGCAGGTCAAAAAATCTGTAGGTTGAGTCTCCATTGACCTACAATGCATTGAAAACCAATTAATCCGTAACTGGCCGTTTTTGTTCCATTTTTGTTCCATTTTGTTTTTTGTTTTTTCTGGTCTGTAGGTCGATTCTCTGGCTGCAAGTCAAACCTAAATTTTGTGGCAAGAGAAGTCTGTAACTCGAAAAGTCTGTAAGTCGAGCCGTTTGTAAGTTGAGGGTTCACTGTATGATAATTCATTTTTTAAAATGTTATACTTGGAACAATATTTGTTCATCCTGTACTGCATCAGGTGCACACTATACTGATACAAATAATGCTTATGTAAATAGTATCTTTATTTTAATTTTGTTTCTTATTTTATCATATAAAATGTCAAAAGACATGGTGTTTTTAGGTTTTTAGGCATTCACAGAGACCACGAAGAAGAACAGTAGCATTTTATCATGCAGGAGGGTCAATAAACTAAACCTGATAAGATGGAGATCCTACTGTTAGGCTCCAGTTGAACTGGTTAGAGGAAAATTTACCTGGTCATTATGGTATTACACTCCCCTGAAGGACTAGGTCCACTGCTTGGTGGTAGTCTTCAACCCAGCACTCTCCTATGGAGACTCTAATATCTGCTAAGGCCAAGAGTGCCTTCTATCAACTTTGATTGAGTGCCATGTTGCACCCCTACATGAATGAGAAATGTCTAGCAACAGTGGTTCACACAGTAATCTCAAAACTAAATCTGATCATTTATCCACAGTCTTGACACACCTACATTGGCTCCCTGTTAGTTTCCAGGTGCTGGTTATGACCTGCAAAGCCCTTAACAGTTTGGGACCTCAAAAGCTGTTGGAACGTCTCTCCCAGAAATCAGCTATCCATCCCACCCCCTCCTCTCAATCTATGTTATTAAAAGTTGCTATGTCTTTATTATAGTGAGCCCCTAGTCTCTGGGGAAAAAAATGACAACAGAGGTATGCCATGTTCCTTCCCTCCTTCACCACAGAAAGATGGTAACAACTAAATTATTTAAAACTGAATCTGTAGGATGCTGTTAACAGCCATTTATTTTTTTAAAAAAATCCAATTTTTTATAAAGTTATTCGTATTTATGGCTATAATTATAATTTTTGGTGTGGCCGTGTTGTTTTTGAATGGTGTTTTCTTTTGGGGGGGGGATGGGGTATTATTTTAAGCTTGTATATTTTAATCTTGTGCAACTGCCCAGTATAGTGCTTGAACTAATGAGGCAGTATAGAAATCAAATAAATAAATAAATAAATATATAAATAAATGCAGTACAAAGATTTGCTGAATTGTTCCCACAGATGTTTGTGATGTGACCTAGAGATAACATTCAGGGGTACCAAGGCTCTCACAGTACAGCTTTTCTAAAGACGGTGAATGTTGCTCCATTTTGAGGCCACTGGGAAAAAACTGCTTCCACAATAAAAATGGAAGAGTAAGTAAAACTGGCCCTGCTGAATGTTGAGGCTGGAGGTTCTGCTTCATACAAGATATATTAAACACAGTACAGCAGCCACTTTTATAGAGTAGTACCGCTATATTACTGATATTATCATGAAGGTACCGCTCCATGTAAGTAGTTGCTGCACAGCAACCCAAAAATTGGTCCAGAGAAGAAGGCAGCTACCATGCCAATATTATGGTGTCCAAAATTAGTCCTTCATGAAATTTGGTCTTTATGCAAAGTGAGAGTTCAGTTCAATCATTCTGAGAAGTGCAGCACTGAAGAGACACATTACAGTGGGTATAAAAGAGTCTTTTGTTTTCTTGCCCTCATCCACCCTTGAAAGAAAAAGAAAAAAGAAAAACTTGCGTGCATACACCCACTTCTCTTTTGGAACTTACTACAGCTGCTGTGAGTATAAAGTTACATCATGTAAGTAATTACAGCACTTTTCCACACATGCAAAACAATTAATTTCCTGATTTTTGTTTTTCTTTTAATAGTGCATCATCAAGGCCACGGTGTATCAACAAAAGTCTCTCTCCACTTGTCTCCATGTCCACATCAGATCCAGTTACTTCACATCACCTGCTAGGATATAAAGAGAAAATAATTACTCAAAATGGGAGCTGATTTTTTAAAAGAAGAGTTAACTCTAACAAATCAGATTTGTACTAATAAATTATATTTAAACCTCCAAGGCTGAAGGGGGAAACAGTGATTTATGACAGCAATAACACTTTATCTATGACAGAGCATTGTGCAAAATTCAGGATAATTGATTTTTATAACTTTTTTCTGTTCTCTAAAACCTTCAGTAGATGTGTGGATATATTTGAAATGTGTATTAGAAGATGTGTGAATGTACAGTATTTCAAGTATAAAAATATAACCTCTTTTTAGGAAAACAACTCTAAAATCCAGTTTCATGTTTGGTCTGAAGAAGGATCTAGTTTAAGTTAAATACTTGCTATAAATAACCACATCTTTTATATGTAAAGTGCGCCATTTTAATCCTCAGCTTCTTTAGTTACAAAGTCATGTTGTTGCTGACAGAAAAAACAACCTGGAGACCCACTGCCAGTCCAAGCTGATAATGCAGAAACAAACAGATGTGTGGTCTGTTTCAGTACAAATAGCCAATAATATGTAAGTACCATCTTTACAGTGTTAAGGATTAAGTCATAGACGCAATTCTTCAGTTGTAGTACATACAGGGTTACTATCAACTGTTTACAATAATAGATATAGCACACAAGGAAACACCAGTTAAAGCCTGCTTCAACATACAATATTTTTCAATACGACACAAAATTAACTTACTGTTTGGAGCTAAGGATGGGGATCGTGTTTTTAAAATACAAAATTTCAGCTTTAGCTGTTCATAAACACCTGTCCTTCAACAATACCTTTTGGGTAAGTCATCCAGCATAGCTACTGCAGCCTGTAAGCTTGGGCAGCATCCTCCAGCGCTAGAGTTTTAGGTTCACAACAGTGGGATCTGGCATGATGGGAGAGGGTTGCAACGCTTTTTCTCTACTGTACCCCCAAAATCAGCTCAGAGGAACTGGAAACCCATCTGGAGCACATTTTTGGCACCAGAAAGGCTGTAGTAGGAAAGGTGAAAGACCCTATATAAATTGAAGCCTTGGTTTTCTTCAGCAATTCTTCCTACAGAATATGTAAATTCCACTGGCTAATTCTGCACTGTATTTTTTAAAAAAAGAAAAGTTAAGCTGGATTGTGTTCACTGCCGAGCTATCAATTATGGTTCTATACTTGGGGGAGCACAATGCAAACCCATGAGGTTTCTGATGCCCGGGGGATGTGTGCAGCTCTGTTCCCCTGTATCATTCCCATCGCCACTACCCATTTTTAAAACAAAAACCGGGCTTTTGCTCCTGGAGGCCTGCATTATATCTCTTCCATTTTCCCCAACAGACACACTGTGCCCAATGGGCATGCTCAGTCCTCACTGGAGATTCTCCTACATGGTGTTTTTTGTTTTTGGCTTTCGCTTTTGGTACTTTGAAGCCTATGATACCTTCATGTTCTGCATCGATAGAGATATCTAGGCTAGGTAAAAACTAAACCTTGACCGAACTAAGTTTGCTGTTATTATATAAAATTCATGCAATTAAATTATTTCGATTCAACTGTCACAGGAAAAGCAATCAGCACGAACTGACATTTTGGAAGAACATTTTGAGGACACTCTGAGGGGCTATAACCCACCAGCCAGGTACAGTTATTCCTAAGGCTCCATCTCAATGACAGTTTGCAGGCTATTAGGAAATACATTTATAAAAAGAACAGAAGCTTGCAAAATCAACAAAAGTGTGTAGCTTTGTGTTTCTGGACTAGAACTCCCAAAATTCCCCAGGCAACATGGGTCCTTCTGGGAGTTGCAGTCAAAAATCACAAATATGTACACCTCTAAAAATCAATATCGTTAATGCTGAATAAAAATTAGACTGTAAAGTAAACTGAACCCATGTTTACCCATCATCCTTTACAGAGTGGGTAACTCATTCACCTCCCAGAGTCGCTTGACAATAAAAATACAAAAGGGAAAACATATGTTGACCCATGGGAGAAACAGGGTAAGTTTTAAATCTGAACAGAATCTTCAAAAAGCACTGGCCCTTGGTTTAACCCTTTATAAAGACCATAGGGTCAATTTTAAGAAGAGGCAACATCAAACCTTTTTGCCTTCTTTTTTGGAAGAATCAAGATTATTGGTCTTTGTCTACAACAAAGCACTTCATTTTGTGCACAGCAGGTTTTCCTGATTTCAGCTTCTGATTAGAGTACTCATGCCCCTGTAGACTGGGAGGTACATACACCCTACATGCTATACTGCTAGGAACTTTAGAAGTCTTTAGTTGGTCAATGCACTGCCTTTCAGGTTCCACCGTATGCATTTACATCAGGACTCTTATGTTATTACAGTACCACATTATTTCAAGGATTAGGGTGTCTTGTGTTACCTTTCAGGTATCCCCAACAACTCTTAATGTGTGGATAAATGAACTGCAACTGCTTTCCAGTTGAATCTAGTGAAAGAAGTTGCATACAGAACTGAAAAAATGCTCATGATTATCTAACTGACAAACTGCTTGAATGACTAATAACTAATCAGTCTCTAGTTAGGTTGCATTCGTGGATTAATTTGATATCCATGTAACTGATTTGGTTCAAACAGAAATCAATGAAGTATGACGTAAATAGCAAGTCAAGAAATGAGGAATGAAGTATATGGAATATGAACATTTGCTTAATTATTTGTCCTCATTTTTTTCAGTGGAGCAGTGACAAAGTATTTCTTTTTCCTATTAATAAAAAAAGAAAATAATTCTATTGACAAATGCCTTAGTGATTGTTTTGTTAACATATAATCAGATACACACATCCTACAAACTTCTTTAACCACATGTTCATACACAAATTGTAAGTGGAATACTCATATGCATGATCAATAATGGTTTAGCCATTTAAAGCTTTCTGTTGTAATGACATGGCAAGTTGCATTTGTATCAAGTGAGAATGTGGAATGCAGTGATGCCTTGCAAGACGAATGCCTCGTGTAACAAAAAACTTGCAACACGAAAGCATTTTGCGATTTTTTTGGTGACTTGAAAGATGAATTTTTTTATGGCTGTGCTTCACAAGACAATTTTTTCAATGCATTCCTATGGGAAAATTTGCAAGATGAAATTTTTGCAATACGAAATGACTCGCGGAACGAATTATTTTCGTCTTGCGAGACATCACTGTGTTGCCATTCATGGTTCCATGCAGCCATGTCAATTACCAGGATACTTCCTCCCTGCCAACTCCAGAATTTTCCATTTTTCTCATCTGAATAGCCAACATGCCATGGCCAATGAAGATGTTCTGTCCTCGTTAAGCTATTTTGTAATCTGTGCACACAAGAGTACACATATTTCCCCCAAAGATCTCCCATCTCTCTTCTGCAAGAATGGGAGTGCCATATGGGCTACACAAGAGTCGATATTTGCAGAATTAGTTTGCTATTTGCAGTTAGCAGGGTTGGGCAACTTGTGGCCATCAAGATACTATTGAATCTATTTCCTATCATCTCTCCCCATTAGTTGTACTGGGCAGGGCTGATGGGAGTTGTCCAGCAAAATCTTTCCCACTCCCAAACCTCCAAGTATAAACCATGCATATACTATCTGCAACATGACTTCTGAGTAATATACAGATTTTAAATGCACAGTACAGGTACTTTAACACCACAAAGAATTCTAAGGTTATAAAGAAGGGCTATGCCAACAGGTTATGTGAAAGATTTCATCATAACTAAGGATATAAATGTCTGTGCAAGCAATGGCAGTGAACAGGTGTCCACATTTTTGCTTGGTACTGCAATCAGTCATTATTTTACTCACCATAGACTCTTCTGTCCCCAAGCCCTCTGCATGTGCCAAAGGACTTATGAGATGGCCGGTAAGGGGAAAGATAAAGTATTTCTTTTCACCTTTGTAATAGCATCACAATAAGGAGAAGCAACACAGGCCGATCATGCTTCTCTCTTGCACTGAACTTTTTAGAACTCACAAATCTGTACCAACCTTGGGGGAGAGAGATCTATGTGTTTTTATGAGTTTCTATGGCAGCAAAAATAAAATATGTCATGATACTGGAAATCAATTTACAATTTGCTTTTAATTGAATCTAGAATGGTGGTATGTCATAACCGGGGGAGAGGGGAATGTATTTCAATTGATGTCAAAGAAGACCGCACCACAGGAATAGGGTTTGCATCCTTCTGCCATGAAAAGTTTAGACATGCTGCATATCATATAGCGCCAATTATATGAATAATGTGTGAAAATCAAAAGATAAAAACTAAAAAGGCCAAATGACAAATATGTCAAACAAAGACAGGCAGTATGTACTCACCATCATTCTAACATCACTCCTTTTGCATCTTTGAAAAACCAAGGAAAGAGTTAGTGGTTAGAAAAGAAATTAGTAAAGAGCAGTTTAGCAGCAACTGTCTTAGAAGAGATTGGGGTTTAATGCTACTTTCCAGCATGCCAGAAAATTCCATGTAAGAATGAAGAAATTTAAGCGCCATCATTTATGTCTCTCCCCAATCACAGTACACTCTTGAATTTTCAATAGTCTACGTGTGATTTTTTCACAGCCAACTGGATCAAATCAGGAAACCAGATAGACAAAGGCAAGATACAGAAAGTACAGCTTTGCCTAGCACCATTCCAGAAGTCCATGCACGCCATGCAAAAGAAAGTTCAACATCTATCATCCAGAAGGAATATCCCTTTCATTAAGAAACTGATTCCTCTTTGCAAAGCCATTTGTAAGATTACAGAGCTATTTATCCTATGATAGCAAGCCACCAAGCATGACAGAGGTCCAGATAATCCTAGGATTTCTTTTTTTAAAAAAATAGTTTTTCAGCATTAAAAACCCAGAACAACTTTCTTTACATACAAGATACACATACAAACATGGGATTACAGTGTATTATTGGCATCAAGTTAATCCTAGGATTTCTCTACCACAAAATGGCTCTCAAAACTGTAACTCTCAGTTGGCGATCTATAAGCCACCAATAATTTAAAGCCATCAGCAATGTTTACATTATTTTGTGTTAATATCTGTATAAACAGAGTTAACAGCTATTTTCTGGCTGAGACAAATCATCAAAGCCAAGCCCCTGAAATATAACACAAAATTTCAATCACCACCTACCATTAAGTGATTCTTCGACAGCTTTCTGCAAAATATTTAAAATATATAAAGCCTTCATGTCTAGCTTGGATTTCCAAAATTAAATAACTCTAATTGATATATACAATAAATAGTGATTCTACAAAACAAATAAAAGAAGCAGCAAAACATTAGTAGGTTAATAACAGGCTTTGTTATTTCTAGGCCATTAATGAGTTCATACTTATTGCCTCAGAAGTGCTTTAACAGCAGTTGTTTGTATTTACATTTTAGTTGGAATGCAGAAAACAAACACTATGAAGAGTATTTAATGGAACTATGTTTGCAGTATGACTGCTCTGGAATACATCATAAGCTTTAAAGGAACAAGAATGTGCTGTGGAACTCATCTGGTCTTCCCGTGAACCTTTTTTTTTTAAATGAAATACTAACAGAGATAATGTCAAGAATGTTGGTAATGAGACACTCAATTGTCACAGAGCGAACACTTTACTGTGGAATTAGTACAATGTTCTTTGTGTTCCCAAATCAGGACTAAGGACATATAGGCTACCAATCCTACACACATGTACCTGGGACAAAATCTCACTGAACTAAATAGGGCTCACTTTTGAGCCGATGTGACAAGGATTGTGTTATATGACTGGGATTAATGTCTTTACCAGAGGCACAAAAGACATGTCATTTTAAGCCCAGTGTAAGGCCACCTACATTCTTCTCCACTTTGCTAAGAATCAAGGATATCAGTCACTTTTTCTGTTTCAGGCCAGTTGGCCCACTCACATTTCATTGTGTGCTGCTGGGGTCCTTCTTCTCCGACGACACTCCAATCTGGACAGGGGCTTGGGCTGCTCGCCCCTGCCTTCTTTGGTAGCTGACCACTCGTCGGCTGTGCGGGAAGAATCACTATCCTGCCTCCCTATCATAATGGTCAGCTGCCAAAGGAAGCAGGGATGGGCAGGCTGAGCCTCGTGCTTGGACCGCAGTGCTGCTGGAGAAGAAGGACCCCGGCCCAGGGGTAGGGAATGCTACACAAGATGCTACACAACTTAGGTTATATGAAAGGGGCCCAAATTAATTCAGGCCCATCTCTTCATTTTAATCAAATGATTTCATCATTGTTGATCAACACCGTATGGTCAGAAGGCAATCTCCAAGAACATACAGTGCACACCATTTTCAAAAGGGGAAGGTGGGTTAGTCTTTTAAAGAACCACCACAAACACTATCGTGGCGCTTTTATGATTAGTAGATGTATTTACAGCATGAGCTTTTACGCAGTACAGTCCACTTCCCCAGAATTCACAAAAAATAATCTTCGGCATAGCTAGCAATCTTCAGAGTTCGTAAAGTTACATTTTAAAAATGACTTGCTACCCTGATTTCTAAATATGTTTGCATAATTCCTTGTCTTTTGCTCACTGTGTTGGTCATTATTTTATATTACTTTAAACAAAACATTAACATTCATAAGAGAATGAAATATTCAACATTCTTGTCAGAATGCCCCTGAAAACAGCCCTTAAAAGGAACTGTAAAATTAATTAGCCTTACTCATTACATCAACAAAGCAAGCATTCCCACTCAATGCATTACATTTGAGAGCTCACTTTGCTCCACTCTTGTATAAAAGGTAGCTAGCTATGTTACTTTAACTCATTACTTCTCAGCTCTGACAATCTAATAGGGGGTGATACATATAGAATGCCCATGGTTAAGTATGACACACGGACATGAGACCAACATCCCTCCTTCAAGCATGCATACCCAATATGTGTGTCAAGTGTATCTAGGGCTATCTATTTTGGAATCTCTAAGATCAAATTCCCCAAAGTCCATCTTTGGAGAGGAGCCAACCTGTGCAATCATGAACAAGCTGCACAAACCCAGGGCACCCCTAGAAGAAGGGAACAGTAAACCACTTCTGAGTATTCTCTACTTAGAAAACCCTGGAAATGGTCACCATAAGGCAGAATGAAATTGATGGTGCACAATTATTATTAATACTGTATTAAGATTATACTTTCTGACAAAGGAGGCTTATCTGGAGGGGGGGGGCTTGGCCAACAAACCTACCCTTGCATCTGAGGAAATGAACTGTAGTTCACAAAAGGCCATGTTATAAACAATCTTATGTTAGCCTAAAGCTACCACACAAGTCTACAGCACTGTCACACAGATGCTCCAGACCTGTCCCCAAATTGTAGCTACGGACACACAGAAGGTTGTATGTTCAGGTGTCTGCCTACGTGTGTTGTCTCCTTCTAGGAATGCAGCCACACCCACTGGCATCACTCTCTCTCTCTAATCTAAAGACTCCTTTAAATGTGCAGCTTGGGAGAAACTTATCAACATGTAATGCCACACTTTCTGAGTCCTTCTAAATCCACATGGCTAATTAATATTCGTTCTGCTTCAGAGGAATCCTAGTTCAATTTGCATAACTCCTGAGTCAGTTCAAATGAATGCATTTAAAGCCTTGTTCAAATCCAAAGAACACTCCTAATAAATTCTCAATTGACCAGCTGAGGGCCTAGTGACAAAAATGTTCCATTCATAAGTTGCTACAGCTACCCTGAAAATAGCAATTTGTAGCATCTCCTGAAGATATGAACCTGTACTCAATGCTTAGACATGACACTCATGTCACCATAGATGGTTTTGCACATGGATCTGATTTGGCATGTGGTTAAAGGTAAAGGTTCCCCTTGATATTTAATCCAGTCGTGTCCGACTCGAGGGGGCAGTGCTCATCCCCATTTCCAAGCCATAAAGCCAGCATTTGTCCAAAGACAGTTTCTGTCGTCACATGGCCAGCGCGACTAAACACGGAACGCCATTACCTGGTAGTACCTATTTATCTACTTGCATTGCTGATTTGGCATGTGGTTAAAGGTAAAGATTCCCCTTGATATTTAATCCAGTCGTGTCCGACTCGAGGGGGCAGGGCTCATCCCCATTTCCAAGCCATAAAGCCAGCATTTGTCCAAAGACAGTTTCTGTCGTCACATGGCCAGCGCGACTAAACACGGAACGCCATTACCTGGTAGTACCTATTTATCTACTTGCATTTGCATGCTTTCAAACTGCTAGGTTGGCAGGAGCTGGGACAAGCGATGGGAGCTCACTCCATTGCGTGGATTCGATCTTACGACTGCTGGTCTTCTGACCTTGCAGCACAGAGGCTTCTGCGGTTTAACCTGCAGCAGCACCATGTCCCTACTTCAGATTCTCCTTCCATTTCCATTGTGTTCTAGGCATCAAAATCCCATCCCACAACAAAAGATTTAACAAGTTCTCTTTCTAGGAGGTATGCTGAGAAGACTTTTTATCTGCTGGCAACTCTGCTCCACCTCAAATCCTGCCCTCTTCTCTCAGTCACCTTCTCTCTGTGTTTTTTATTTGATATCAGTTCAACCATTATCAATGAAGAGAGCATTGCTTTGTAGTTTGTCCTCCAACCTTTCTAGTGAAAACCTCAAGAAAGTATGAAGGTTAGCAGAGTCTGCTAAGGCTTCACCACTCCCAGTTCCATCTTACAGGGACAACTTCAGAAAGACAATCTCTTTTATCCTTGTTCCTGGGGAACAATTTCAGAAAGACAGTCTCTTGTATCCCTGTTCCTGGGGAACAAGTATATTCTGGCACTTAAAACTATATATTGTCAGTTTTTCTCTATCATCTCAATGCTCCACCCTCTTATCACATGCTGCTCAACCTGGCCGGGCACGCTCGCTGATCATTTATTTACCAATCAGAACTTCCTGTTTCTTTTTTCTTTTCTTTCTTTTTTGCCACTTCTTTGTTTTACCTACTGGCTAGCCCAAATTTAATTTCAGTTGGTCTAACAACCTTCTTCATCCTGTATCAAAGTCCTATGATATATTTTGCAATAGCACTTTTATACTTTGATTGAATTATTGTGTTTACTAGCTAATAATATCCCCCTGGCTAGCTTGCACTTCTATTTCATTGCATTTCATTTTAACCTTACTAAACAGCCAAAGGATTTTCCAAATAGCTTATGTATGAGGTGCAACTTCTCTTTGCAAACACCTCCTGAAAAAGCCCAAGCTCGTTTTTTACATGCATGCATCATTCTACACTTCTGTTTCAGGGTGCAGCTATGATTTGGGCTGTGTGAAGAATTAAACACTGAAAAAAGGTTGTTGGTGCTATGATGCTTTGGAACCTTTTTTTAAACTAGGGAAGTGTTGGAAAAGTATTTTTTTTAAATTTCATATAGAATTTTCATTTCCAATAAGCATTTTGATCTTGGTTTTCACTTTTGCATTTAACTATTGGTTTCTTTTTTGTATTGTTTTATTTCTGTTTTTCTGCTCAGGAAAAAAAATCTTGTTAAATTAAGCCACAAACCAGTTTGACACTAGCTAGGGTTACCTTCATAACCAGAATGAAAACAGAGTTTGAAGTCAGTGACCTATAGCCTGATCAATATTTATTTAGACAAAGATCCAACTGTGGAAGCTGCCACAGTAATCTGACCAGGTCATGTGACCAAGCATTCATCCAGCAGTTCATCAGACTGCAGTTACAGGGAATAGTCATGGAAAGGAAGAATTTACAAGGTCTACTCCTGACCTCCTTCCATTATCAAGAATGCACCCAAGGTAGTACTGGTGCGTCCTTAGTACCCTGGCAAAACAGCACAGAGTTGAAACCAGGCAGCCTGAATGATAGATAGATCAACAACTGCCCCTCACTGACAGGAAACCGGTTGGAAAGGGATCCTGTTTTTAGCTACCACAATGCAATAGATCTAGCTATTTCTCGCACTGCCAGAGTAGAACAGAAACGCCAAGCAAGTGCTCAGGTCTGGCAGATGAAAGAGTATTAGATGCAGCAAGCAGTGCTCCACTTTACTTTGTACACGTGCTTTTGGAAATATAACTGCCAGATTCATTCTTATACATCTGAGAACACACTGGGATACAGAGAAACTGAGGACTTTGTGCCAAACTCAAAGAGGGGTTGTGATAAATAAATTTCTGGATGATGCCACTTCAAACTGCAAGCAGAGTTAATATAACTGAATGCTTCTTGATACTCTGCCTTTATCCTACACAGCAAACTAGCATGTCAGAAAGAAAGGTAGACACAATCCCATTTCTATTCATCTTTATTATTTGTATAACACAGGTTGTGGTTTACAGGGAAAACTGATTCACATAAGCTCTACCTATAGCTTGAAACAGTGAACTAAGTAAATGACATTTACCACCCTATCTGCTAGACATGTGGAATGTATTTGTAGAAGACCTCAGGTAACATCTTTCATCATCCAACCATATCAGAGAGAGGGGGTGTATTTAAATGTAAAGGTGGCATGGATGAGAGAGAGAGGAAAAAAATACTATGACTTCTATTGATGTCTTCCTGGAACGACAAGTCAGTGCAACAATAAAGGCAACAACAGTGCCACTGTTTCCAAGGGTTGTGCTGCAAGGGATGGGGGGGGGGACACCTGCCACCAAAGAGGCAGAGAATGAGGCCTAGCACCCCTAAGCACACACATGTGTATACAACACCTGATCATCCAAGCAGACCTTTATAGTGAACATGTTAAGAAATTCTGATCCACCAGGAGTCTCTGGAATCCTGGCAATCAGTAGCGAATGGTAGCCTGGTAGATACTGCTTTATGGCTCCTGATTGACTCCTCCTGAAGGCAGGAGTGGCTAAACAAGAGTCTTGTACACTAGATACCTGCAACAAACCATGATTACTCTGCCTTGTTTGGGTTGGGGGGGCGGGCACTAAAAATTTCTCAATGTGACAACACAGTTGGAAGCAGGTGTTATATAGTTACTCCCATCATAAACAGGGCCTAGTGATTCCAAAGGCTGACTGGTCAAGCTTTATGCCAGCCTGCATTCTGCAGCTTTTGCATATGGAATGAGGTGAGAGAAGCAAATCATGGTAGTATCATCCCATGAAGTGGATATGCACTAGGTAGCCAATGAACTGCCGTGAGGATTCTTGCCTTGGTATCAGTGATTTTACTTATTACCAACCTCACTCCAACTACGCGTGAAACGCTCAGCATCTCATTACATATCCCCCGAGCCATCTAGCCACCCCAAATACTTTAAGTTTAAACTTACCCTTGGAGGCTGATGATCTTTCAAGCTGGAACCTAGGATTACAAGAACAATACAGAACACTTTTTTTTATTGCTATGTAAAGTACATAAACTGAATCACCACACTGAAAGATGAAGAAAAAGTTCTGGGTCTTTTGGTCTATATCTGTCAATAAATGTACAGTGGACCCTCGACTTACAGACGGCTCGACTTACAGACTTTTCGAGTTACAGACTACTCTGGCTGCAAAATTTAGATTCGACTTGCAGCCAGAGAATCGACTTACAGACCAGAAAAAAACCAAAATGGAATAAAAATAGAATAAAAACCACTGGTTATGGGATTAATCGGTTTTCAGTGCATTGTAGGTCAATGGAGATTTGACTTACAGACTTTTCGACTTGCAGCCACCATTCCAATCGGATTAATTCCTCAAGTAGGGGGTCCACTGTATCATATCACAAAATGATCTTCATAAACTAGGATCGCCAAGTAAACCAGCCAAAATTGAGAGTAACTAACTGAAGTAAATTGGGTAACAGAGGTCTGGCAAGTTACATCCCCTGGAATGTCTCTCTAAGCTTTCAGGACTTAGCACAGGTGCAGTCCCACAAAGGTATGGAACCAACATGGATACTTAAATATCACATCCAACACCTGCCTATGCTATCCTCAATAACCTGGAAATTAGTCTGCTAAAGATTTATGCTGCTTGTATTCTGAATTCAATGTCAGAACCTCTAATTTGCTGGGCTTCAACGGAGGAAAAAGTAAGCAACTAAAAACAATTGATGCAAGAGCAATGTAAAGAAAAAACTCATGTTGATATGAGACAGAAATTGATATTATCCTTAGAATTGCTAGTCAACATGATCTCATGAAAGACATATTTCTGGCCCTAAGTGGCATGAATGGACACCTTCATCCTTCACCTTATCTCTCCCTGGCACCCAAAGATGTAGATACTGAATTTAAAAAAAATATCACTCTCCAGGATCAATTTTCTGTCCAAATAATCATCCTACATTTCTGTCTCCCTCAATGTTGTAAAAAGAAGTGAAGTGAGAAATAAAAATACAGAAGAGAAGAAATATCTTGTGGTTCAGATCTGCAATGGCTCCTTCACACATGTAAATTATTATACAACTTCCAGTCACTAAATTATGAAAATACATTTATGAGCCAAAATCTGGGTAAAAGTGTCAGTATACTCATGCTAAACTGTAAGTTCTCCAACTACTTCTTTCTCCTGTTTTTAACTAGTCTTATTATACTGCAGCTTTAGTAATATGAATTATAGCTCCTTAGGCACAGCTATTTGTAATGGAAAGATAGAATGCAAAGGTCCAATTTTTGGTCCCAGACAGAGCAGACTGAATGAACAGGAACTGTCAATTGAATCTTGAGCAAGTTAGCTAACCAACAATTTAGGCCCACGGTGTTTTGCCTGCTTAATAAATTAGAACCCAAGCAACTTACACCCAATGTAACCCACAGGCTTAGTAACTGTTAGTCAAAATAACAGTGCTTATCATCATGGTGGCAGCTTTCCAGATTCTAATTTACAGGAATCATTTTTTTTAAAAAAAAATATGTAAAAACAATAGAAATTCCCATTATAATTTTTTTTACTGTGAATCTAGGCTCTGTAACTTACTGGTCTGGTAAAGGTCAGCTGTTATTTTCACATCACTGCCAGATTGTTGTGTATTTTCCATTCTGATTTGCTCTAGTGCACAATCTTCTCACATGGGCCCCAGTATCAGGCCAATGTGTACAGATCCATGCACTTTGTGGGTGTTGTCAGAACCACTTCTCCCTAAAGAGATAGGGTGTGTATCATCTGATGATGTTTCTTTACGGATGTGTTTCTGCTGGTCGGTCACCACCGTTTTACTGTTACTTTTAAAAAAAACTTTTCTAGGGATAACAGCCATTCCTGCATTCTGCTTTTTAATGGTTTAAAATGTTAACTCTTCTGCACTACAGTACGGAAGTGAAAACTGAAGATGTATAAAAAATAAAATTAAAAAGCACTATTGTGAAAGCATGAAGGTTTGAGAAGGGTGGGTGAGTAAAATACAAAGGGAACAGAGGACTATGTTAAGGAGGTAGGGAGAAGGTGGAGCAGACAGCCAAAAGGAGAGGGCAACCTGTACTGGGAGCAAGAGTTCTTAAGGAACATGTCCAGATGCACATGGAGGGGCAGTACAGTAGGACCCAATGCATCCCATTACACCCAACAAGAAATTCCGTCCCCATGTGTGGTCTATTCAAATCTGAAACTGGGACAGACTAATAAAACCTGAAAAACAAAATGCCACAATCACCCAGAATGACTCCAAATGACCAAGGACAACATTGGCATGGGTGAGCGCCATATGAACTCTTTTTTAATTCTTCTAGAGCACATTAGATCCAGTGTGATGTGGCCACAAAGGCAAAAATATTCATTATTAACAACAGCAGCAAAAGAATGGAAAAAGCATATATACAGACACCTCAATACTTCGTACATAGCAAAGAAGCAGTAGTTGTGGTCACGTATGCACACAGACCACAGTTTTGAACTTGTTTAGACGGGGAACCCAAACATTCAGTGTAGGACTGTTTCACCAATATGAGCAAAATGAAAAGTAGACAATGTTGGACTGAAAATCCCAGCATCCCTAATTACTGGCTACAAGAATCTGGTTCATGGGAATCAAAGCCCAACATCCAAAAGGCCACACTTTGCTTATCTTGTTTTACACCATGAGCCTGTTTTCTTCTTGTCTGCTGCTCATTTGTTCTTCACTCGAACATCCTTTTTCATTGCTTCTTTCAAACTCACTGATATTTTTTTAATTTATAACATTAGCTGGGCTAGGAAACTTTTTTTAAAAAAAGAACTCTGAGTGAAAATGTAGCATAAATATTGCAAAGATAAATGATTATGTGTGTCTTTGCTCCTAACCTGGGATGATACATGAGTGTAAATGGGTTCTGATAATTAACTCTCCTTCCCTTGTAAGAAGATGAGTCAAGGCTATAGGCTGGTTTATCACTTTTAATCCAGCAGTAAAGACCAGTGTGACAGAGCATTCTCTCCTCTCATAGCACATGCCTTTCCACTGCCACCTACAGTATATCAATTTTCTTCTACCTTCCAACCAAGGTCCACAACCTCACCTGTTACACTTGCTATAGCTGCTAGGAAAACTGCTTGCCTTAGACCAGTCCTACTGTACAAGGATGCACAAGCACCTGTGCAAAGGGTAGGGGGGAAATGAAAGGAAAAGCTAATCCTGCGAAACAGCTTAGAACCCTGTCTCCAGACACACACCCATCTTCGGCATTCAGGTTTTCTCTGCAAGCTTCTGATGGAGGAAAAGAGCCCTTGCACGTACAAAGCAGTTCTTTCGGCCCAAACGGCTTTTCTCTGAACAGCAGCCTTTTCAATGGGAGAATACAAGGAGCTACGGTTATGGGAGAAGAAGAGCTCACAACGATTACACTCATGAACAAAGTTCCATGGTTCTCTGTAAAATCCTGCTTCTTTCCTCTTGCGTGCAGGCTGTGTGCACGACTGACTTTTCTGACCAAGAGAATATTTTTCACCCCCTTCCACATGCATAAGCTTTTTGTTTTCAGTGGGATGTTCTCCAGCTTGTCTATCTACAAGCTGGAGTAGTGTTAGACTTCACGGCACACACTCTACATCTGCATTATTACTAACACAGTGTTATGTATATAGGTCATAAAATTTACTTTCAGTCAGTCCACATTTTCTGCTTGCTTGCTTACTAAACAAGACCCTTTGTGAGAAAACATTTGATCATATAATGGAACATCCCACATAAAACGTATCTTAGATATCTGGTATATAAAAATCTGAACCAAATACCTCTCAGACATGGAAGGACAACAATTATCCTGCAATTGGCAGAATATCTTACCCCAGACAAGTCTATACCTTTTACAAGCAATTTACTGGAGGTAAATGCTATGTAAATAGAGCATGCATGTTTCTTACAATCTCTCCTAGATGTTACAAGGGCTTCTGTAGAAATTAACTTGATGAAGCTTTAGACCCATTACTGCAGTCCACAATGTGTAGGGGGTGCCTCACCCTGTTGCTTGGAGACAATGTCCTCCCACCCTACATGGATCAAGGGCTGCCATAACAACCAATGATCATCTTCACTTTGATAAACATCCCATTTTAAGAAGATTCAAGTACGACTGGAAGAAAGGTGAAGTGCTGCCTCTATATCTCATACACAAGAGTTATATAATCATGAGCGAGAACTGAAAAAGGCCCATTCTAGTTCTTACACATACAGAAAAAGAAGCAGAAATTCAACCCTGGTCAATGGCCTACACTCAACCAAACAATACCAGTTTATGACCCCACATCTTTGTCTCATGGGGGGGGAAAGGAAACATTCTGTGGGTCAACCATCTCTTCAAAATTCATCAAGAATGCTGTCACCTGAAGTATTATTATAAAGTACTTAAGGTACACTTGAAATAGAATATACTTACCACCAATAACAAGGAGATAAATTAAGCCAATTACTGCTACAATATCAATAATCGCTAAGCCTGCAATCACGACAGAACCTTGTCTTGGAGGGCATGCTGTTGGGGGGGGGAAGAAAGAAAGGGTGTTTTTGTTAGCATTTGTGGTTCTTTTATTCTTAAAATACAATTTGTGAAAGAGCACATGTATGCTTTCTCAATGAAAACAGTTACAATATGATCAACTGTGCACAGCTGGTCCACAGATCTGCCAGCAGTTTCTTCATCACTCTATTATGCAAATATAGCACTGGAGGGTGGACATGGATCCTGAAACTTGATAAAGGCCTTAACTATTGTTACCTGCATGTCTGACCTGTCCCTTACAGTAGCACCTTGCAGTAATAATATGCATCACCTTTACTAAGCTTTGTGTCCCTTAACTTTTGTGTAAATGGAAAAGAGAGACTTGATGCAATGGGTGGGAAAAATGTGAGATCCTTTTTTTATTAACCAAATTTAAATCATTCTCTGAATCTTCAGTTACACACAAGCAAGTTAATAAAATATGGATATTTGGTAATCTTTTCATTTTCTAAGCACTTACATGTCAACAATCAAGTGTCTTTCTCTGCACCATAGCTCTAATCATAAACATAAATAATTGGCAGCTAAGTGTAATTTTTGTAAGTTATTATTCAGACACAACTAGTTTCTTGAAAAATGAATAAATCGGACTTCCAATTAGGAGAAAATAAAACATTTAATCTAATATAGACACTTTCAATATTTTAAATTATGGTGGGAACCAGGGAGATGGATTGCTCAACAACAGATTACAAGGAAGAGCTCACACACTTAAGAATCCATTTGTAACAAGGTCAGTACATTTCAGCTGAAAACATCTATCTACTGTGAATAGCTTTATGCTAGAAAGAATCACCAGAAATCTGAAAAATCACTTCTGCTACTATCTTGGTTGTCATCTGGATCAGGAAGTTACCTAACCCAAAACTTTGTTATGTTTGAGAAACTTTAAGGAAATAAAAGTATGTATGTGATCCTTGGCCCGATAAAGTCTCTGCTTGCTAAGTATAGACCCCCCCAAAAAATGTGTGTGTGCTTTTCCTTTTGTAAGGAAAAAAATGGACTAGATATTCCATAGCAGCAACAGAGCTGCCTCCAGATTTTATATGACCTCAGATGGACCTTTGAAAGCCACAGGAACCCCACACTGGCTATATTTAATAAGAAGGATGGAAGAAGCATAGAAAGCAATTAGAATTGAACCATCCAGTGCTGCTGTACTTATCAAGTGGATTTAGCGGCAATGGCACAAGTCTGTGATTCTGTTCTTGCAGCTCAAGCAATTTTAAAGAATTTGGCTCTATTAGTTAAAAACAGCTTTCCAGGTTTTGCATATTTTAGTTTGCATTTTGAAACTCCCAACACAAAGATAGATGTTCTCTTTTTTTTAAAGGTTTGCAATAAAGAGAATTGAACAGAGCCACCCTTCTGTAAACACAAAGTCAGGATAAACTAGGTAGTACAGTGGTGCCTCGCTTAACGAGTGCCCCGTTTAACGAAAAAATCGCATAGCGATGGCTTTTTGCCATCGCTTTTGCGATCGCACAACGATCTTGCCTATGGGGAAAAATCGCTTTGCGATTTTTCCCCATAGGCACCATTTTCCCCCAGCTGAACTGCGGGAGCT